GGATCTATCATTGGCCCCATTCTATTTCTTGTATATGTAAATGACATTGCGGAAAACCTTTCTACTGGTACCAGTCTTCCCCTCTATGCAGATGATGCAAAGTGTGCCAGAGTGATTAACGACCTTAATGATTGTTACACCCTCCAAAACGATCTGTCAGCTCTACATGATTGGAGTAAACTATGAGAAATGAACTTTAATTCACAGATATATAAACGGCTCTGTATAACAAGGAAGAAAAAAACCAATCCACAATATCTATCATCTTGGTACGGAACAATTACTCCTATCTGACACAGAAAAGGATCTAGGTATAATGCTACATCACAGCATGGCATGACCACATCTTTACAAAAGTAAATTCTGCTAATAAGATCCTTGCGGCTAATTAAACGGACATATGGAAATCAGACACAGTCTGCTGTAATTCGCAAGCTTTACATACACCTTGTGCGGCCTCACCTTGAATACGCCTGCGAAATCTGGTCCCCTCACCAAGCCTTTTTGCAGGACATGATTGAAAGCATTCAGAGACGAGCCATGCACGCGACTCATGATCAAAGGAAAATCTTACATGGAGCGGTTGAAATCTCTCCATCTTCTAACCCTTAAGTCTAGAAGGACTCTACTTGACTTGATCTTCTTTTACAAATGTTTAAAGCGACTCTTGAATATTAACTTATCTAGTTTTATTATTTCTAGAAAAAATGCAGCATATGAACTAAGAAATGCTGATCTGTGAAGGTGTAGTCTGATCGTCCGGGTGAGTGTAGTCCTGAGAAAGACTGTTGTCGATGGTAGTGACTGACGTTTCAAGTGAATGATTGTTGTCAGTAGAACAACAGTAGAAAATGCTGATCTGTCATTTAAAACTCAATATGCGAGAACAAACATGCTAAAATATTCCTATTTCCATAGAACAGTTAAAGCCTGGAATAGTTTACCTATGCATGTCAGAAAGTCTGAGTCTCTTTATGATTTTAAAAGTCTTTGTAAGGCTTATTTATACCGGATAGACGCTGAATTAACCTAATTTATTATTATTATTATTATTATTATTATTATTATTATTATTATAACTCTCTTCCTACACGTAAGAATTTGGTAAGATGGGAATTATCACAAAGTCCTGATTGTTCCTTTTGGCTTAATCCTGAGTCACTCCTTCATGTTGTCGCTAGTTGTCAACAATGCCTTGATCGCTTTACCTAGAGACACGACTCAATCCTTAACTTCATTGCCAAGTCCCTTCAACCTGTAATTAATGTTAGCTCCTCAATCTATGCAGATGTTACTGGTTTTCTAAATCCCTCAAAAATAACCGGTGAAAGTTATCGCTCAGATCTTCTTTTCCTAACCCAGTCCAAGTGCCTATATGTTCTAGAATTAACAGTTGGTTTCGCATCTAACTTGTACAACAATGCAGTACGTAAAAAAGAAAAATATCGGAACTTGATTAACGAAATGAGTAGAACTTTCAGATGTGTGAAATTTGTAAATCTCTCCATGAGCTCCCTTGGCGTTTTCTCAGATGAATGCTCTACGTTCTTAGGTATGATGAATGACATAGGCATTGCCAAAAAGCAGCAACTTTACATAATCAAGAAAATGATAAATATAGCTATTAGAGCAACATATTACGTCTTTTGTTGTAGAAATAGGAATTGGGACAACCCAGATTTGATGCAATTTTGATTTTTGTGCGTGTGTTAAATAAGCCAATCTCAAGCAGCATTTGTAAATTGCCTATACGTAGTGAGATTTACAATTGTACATTTAAAAACACAAATAAAGTTTCCATTATTATTATTATATGCATAGAGGTATGTGTAGTGTTTTTCTTTTTTGGGAGGCCTTTTGTAAGGGAACCTGTTCCTGTTTCTTGGCCTTCCCCTCAGCTTTGTATATGTGTTAAGTTTGTTGAGAAAATGATTAAAGTAAAGTAAAGTAAAGTAAAATGATGACAAAACTGCAGCAAAGAAATGAGTACGTGCACGTGAGAGCTAAAAGAAATAATGAACACTATTGCAGTTTTTCATTTTTTTTTTCGTTCCTCACCTACATGTGGATTTCGGTAACGCTTACAAATTTAACTGCACACTAAAAAGAAACTAGCACAGTAACTGTAACCGGTGGTGATGCTTTAAAAGGCAAAAATTTAACATCATTAACAGCATTTTAACCTTGTATCTTTGACAAAAGGTTTGGAATAAGAAGAGCCATTCAAAATCAGGGACAAAAATTATCAGCCCATGACTGATCGTCATATAAGTTCTCTTTACAGTTATGATACACTGCTATTCAGACTAACAATGAGATTTTAGAGTTTCGAGAAACGAAACCATGTTCGCGTGCGAAAATAGCATGTTAACATGACTTGTCGCGTTTATCTCTGGCGGAAAAAAAATAGATTCCGAAAAACTTCTCTTTGAAGACAATATCTGATAAATCATATTTAGAGGTCGAAATGATTGAGGGATTTTAAAAGGTATTGCGAAACAACTTCAGAAGATGGTTGAAAAAATACTTTAATGCTCAAACAACCTACATAGTAAATAAATCTGATTCGACTTCTTCCAGGCATTTAGACGTTAGTTTTCATTTTCGCCGGACTGAGGCGAAAGAGTAAATGCGGTTGGAAAAAGAAGCCTGCCGGTCCCCCGTCAAAATCTTGAAATAACTTCTCCTGTATTAATTTAAATACCTAACATCTAACAAACAACTACTTGGTATCCAGAGTAGACTTCAGCGGCTGATCTCGACTTTGAAGTTTTGTTAATTTTTCGTAAGGTAAACTGGGAAGTCTTTTTTGGGAAGTCGATGTTTTTTCTCGTCATCGATATAACAGTTTTGGACAACATTAATCTTTGTCAAAAGAATGTATAAAATGAAATCAGTGCTGGCCTCGTTTCGTGCATTAAGACAACATTTTGAAATTTTATTGCCCTATTTTTGTCGTTGAATTTTCAGGTCATTTTATCGCAAAACAAAAAACTTGCAGGCATCATCTTTGTCGAACAACCGTCTCCTAAAAGTAAGTATTGATAATATATTGAACTACACTCATGATCATTGACATGTCAATGGCTGTTGCTAATAGAAATAACCATCCATCGAAGAAGGATACAAGTTCGCGATGCCATTTTCAAAGCCACTTTTACATTCTAGTTTCGTAAAATACATGGATGAAGTTATGTTCGATCTATGTATGATGATTAAAAATATATTTTCCTCAGCAGATGGATTGTGAGTAACAATAAAAAGCATGAAATGTGTAAAACTCGCTTGGATAGCGCCTACAGATTAGTAACCAGCAGGCACGTGTTCGAGCTCAGTCGAAGCTTGGATTTTGGATAAAATAGCAAATATTAGTTTTAGCAATTATATATAATTCGTGCGATCGCGTAGCAAGTTTGAAGACGCATGCTGTTGTCATCAAACGTTTCATAAATTTCAGTTTCTCAGAATCAGATGACAAGGAATCAAAGACTGGCATGTAACCAAATTCAAACAGCTGGTTTTTCAACTCGTTGTGAGAAACCTAATGAAATCTTTCATAAAGTTTACACATTAATTTTTAGTTTCATGATTCTTTGCCTTGCTCATACGCCTGCAGCTGACAGATTGATTAACGTAAGACTGAACTTCTGTGGCAGGATGTAACCGGAGCCGAATCACTTTGTCAGCCGGGTACGAATTTTTAGAATGTGTCCAAGAAAGACATTTCGATTTTTTGATACACACGTTTTCTAGACTAGAGGCGACTTCAATTGGATCAATGTAGTACCCTCACCAATCACGAAAGCTCGCTCATTCTCCAGCTATCTTCTTTTTGACGCTGATGTGAATGTTTGGCAAAAACAATTAATGAATTAATGCATATGGATGACAGATGAAGAAGGAGCGAAACATTCAAATACTTCAAAATAATATGACATTCAAAGTTAGTGTTTTGTATTGACAAAACAAAGATTTCGAGAGAGCAGCGGTGGGTGAAAGCAAAAATATGTCATTTCTCAATATGCGGTGTGAAGAGATCTAAAATGAAGCATTCAAAGAAAGTGTTGATGTTCAGCCCAGATTACCGTTTAGAGATCTCAAAATTGTGGGGAAATTAGCATAGGGGAAGGTTTTAACCTATGAAAATCATTGGGAGGAAGCGCCCTTCAATTGCGCCAGTCCTTCCTTTATTTCGTAACGCACTCTTGAATGAACAAACAATAATTTGCCAAGAACTAAGACCTCATATCTCAGTGACCCGGCCGTAAAACACCGAATGAGATGAATCTGATTCAGTGGATCATTTGCTCAGAAATTAGTCCTTTGGTGGACCTCATGTAATTGGTGATTGGTTACCAGTTTTCTTCACAGCCCTGCGTAAGCTTCTCACGCAACTGGGAAGATATCGTGTTGCGTGACCAACACGAAGAGCTCCTGGGCCTCCTCACGGAACGATGAAAATATCGCGTTGCGTGACAAAAAAAAAAAAAAAAGGAGCTGGGAAGGAGACATGCCGGATATGTTCCCGATAGCAAGAATGATTTACGAGAATGAAACGTTCACAAAATACGTCGTTATATATTTTCTTGCGGACTTTCATTGTGCCTCTCACCACGCAATCATGTCACCCTGTGGACAGTGGCGCAAACCTAGCTTTTTCACTGTAGAAAACAACAGAATTGTGGTAGGATAAAAGTCAACTTGGATTTCCTAGTATTTTGACAGCATGTTGGTGTTTATATCATGGTTGTACAGGAACCGTGAAGGAGCGGCACGTCCGGTGAGATGTAAACTCCCAGAGATCATGGCGGAGGGTTCAAGCAAAGCTTTGGATGATGTCTCAACACCTGCTGAAGAAAAAGAAGAACAAGAACAAGAACAAGAACAAGAACAAGAAGAAGAAGAAGAACAAGAACAACAACAACAACAACAACAACAAGAACAACAACAAGAACAAGAACAACAACAAGAACAAGAACAACAAGAACAAGAACAAGAACAAGAACAAGAAGTAACTCTTGATTTTGATGAGGACACTTTGACAGGTGGGCTTAGTGTGTTTTTGTTTTGTTTTGTTTTGTTTTTTTTTTCAGTTTGCAAACAATGGCTACGTAATATCTTTGTTGTTCAATCTTATGCTATTTTCCATTTCTTTTTGAAGTTCCTTCGGGTCACGTTTATATCTCTGATGGTATTTGGTAATGAAAACAGTCGCATCTGATAGGATGAGATTTGTCAAAATGAGATTTGTAAAGGTTTAACAACATTTTTTTCAGGAGTTTTACCACCTCATGTACCGGAGCTACTTGTACCAGAGCCATTTGTGAAGGTTTTAAACATTTTTTTCAGGAGTTTTTTTCATTTTTTTCACCTCATGTACCAGAGCCACTCCGGAGGACAGCCTGATAAAGGAAGGCCTGATAAATTATCCAGAAAAAACACACTTAATTGATCCTTATTTTTTAAATGCTTGAGCCACAATAAACACCAGTTTTCAATTTATAAATATTATTTAAATTGTTTCGTTTCAGCAATAGTTGAAGTTTACAAAAATGAAGGTAACGACGTTTACATAAAAGGAGACTTTTTCAACGCCATTTACCTTTACACGGAAGGAATTAAAGTGAACTGCGGAAACAAAGAACTGAAGGCCAAACTTTACAACAACAGGGCCTCAGCACACTTCAATTTAGGTAGGTAGGGCTTAGTTCTTTTCGGCCACTTAGCAATCGGCCTCAAAGAGTCCCTCAAAGAGTTCACGTAAGTATTTAGAATGTGTTCACGGCACCGCCATTGTCTTGTATTACTCCCACGGAATTTAAGCCAAGTTCTTTTGTCTTCTCCACCGGCCATTGACATCTATCATCGTATCTCGGCCTAACATCTCTACTGTTTCTCCGCTTTCCACCGCTAACCCCAGATACTCGAGACGACTTCATGATACTCAATTAAGGCAACGGCATAATTTCAAAGTATTATGAGCAGTTCTAACAGTTTACATCTCGAGAAGGAAAATTTCAGTCTCTCAAAATCAGATGACAAACAATCAAAGATACTCAAAACAACTTCATAATACTCAAAGCAACGGCATCATATTTCCACTCAAAGAAACTGATAATTTGGTGTTTGGAAACAGATTTTTTGAAAAGTATAGCCCATATATGTTTGTATATGGACTTGATAGGAAAGTGTGCGTCCCGCATTCCGAAATACTGTTTTCAATTCTTTTTTATTTTAATAAGTAATACTTAGTTGGCCCAAATATTTTAGAATTGAACTGTATCTCTGTATTTTCTGTCGCTCTGAGGGTGAACCATGTAATACGACTAACAACCTACTCCTTTTTTTCTTTCTTATGTTTGGTTTTTGATAACTACGGTTTTCCAATTAGATTCTACACTTCTTTTTAAAAGGTAATTACCAGGATTCGCTGAGAGATGCAACAACCGCCCATCAGCTTCAACCGAAATATCTAAAGGCAATTATTAGAGGTAATTTGTTTTCGTTTTTAAAAGTAGAAAACTATCTCACACCATGCGTTCTTTTAATGAGTGGAATATCACAAGACTGGTGGAAATGGAGTGAAGCGTTGTTATTTTATCATACTTGTTCGTTTTGGCTTGAATTTTCCATTTCAGAGCGAGAACTTGAAGTGAGAATGTAAAAAACTTGACAGCTAAATTTTCATTACCAGTGACTGCCCGCTGATGCTCATTTTTGGAAGCAAAGTGCGCAGGAAAGATTTCTATCTCTTACAAACAATTTTGAGAATCACTGGAATATTTATTTCAACATTTCCATATTTCGCACAGCTCTTTTCATAATTTTAATTTCGGCCTAGGAAAAAAAATTGCAAAATCGTCTTTTCCTAAGCGAAGGAAAATTAAATTAGAGAACATTTGTTCGCATGGATACGGGCTAATTCTGTTCTCTGTGATATTTTTAATAGGAGCAAGTGCCTGTCTTGAGCTGAATAAGCCTGAAGAAGCTTTCAGATGGTGTGTCGAAGGATTAGCCGTATCCTTTTGTCACAAGCTTGAGTATGCCAAACAGCAAAGTTGATTGAACTATTTAGAGTTAAGACTTATAGCACACACTCCAAATAGAAGCTATTCAGGAAGTTGAAAACATATCTTTCTTCTTCAGAAAATGTCTACTCGAAAAAGCCTTTCCAGTTTTAACGGAGTGAACATAAATTTCTTTTCTTTTGTTTACATCCGTCACTCGCATACAAAACAATTAATCTATAAATGCTGAAAGTTATAAGGCCTGGAGCCCAAGTTCTTGACCGATAGAATTCTCGCTGTTGAAAATGAATATCATTACTTCTAAAGTTACACGACACTTGCATAAAGTTTATTAACTTACTCACTATCAAATGAATTGCCGAAGCGAATAAATGCAATTCTAAGTAATTTTCTTATTTTTCCGCATTATGTACATTTTAACTGTCTGAGGATTGAAAGAAACGACACCCTGCGGCAACTAAGAGACAGGTCACTCTGGACCGAGGAGAGTTACAAATTCAACAACGTAATTAAGTGCAAGGTCTAGTGAATAACTTTTCTTTCTTAATCTTAGTTCTCATTTGACATCATAAAAAATCTAATAAAAATAAAACTATTCAGTGTTATTGAAAGAGGGTCCCCCATACTTTTAACGTGAAGCGTCCTTGGGTGATTTCTTTTTTTCTCCTAAATGTTTCTTTTTTTAATTCGTGAATCGTGATTAAAGATGATAAGATCTTTTCATGTCCGCGTGAATGATTTTTTTTATTATTATTATTATTTAAAATGTGACCCGTGAATTAAAAGCTAAATTGAACGAATTTCGTGAACCATTTTGTTTCGCGTGAATTTTCGGGTATTTTACTTTTTAAAAATGTACGTATTTTTCTCAAGTGGGTATCATTAGGTTTTGCCTAGGGTTTTGGTGGGAGGTGATCTTCATATGGATCGATAAAAGTCATAAAACAGACCACTGATGGTTTTTGAACAATTAAAATAAGACAGTACGCCATCTCTTGTCCCGTAAGACTAATCAAGGCTGGAAAATGTAAAATTCATTGAGCGTAATTGTCTTGATTTCACGTGAACGTGACAGAGTTTTGGATATCATTCCTGACGTGTGAAAAGGCCAAATATTTTTCCTTGATTGTGTTTTACAAAGCAGTATAGGGGACCCTCTTGAAGGCAACCACTGTCATTCTGGATCCCTCCGTGGCTTTCCTTGAGCCTCGCACAATTTCAACAAAGTGAGACCAAAAACTTTTCGAGAATTTGTAGAGTCCATCCAATCAACTGTTAATTTTTGCAAAAACTAAGGTACTTTGGAGTCATGGACGAAAATATAATTTTGGAAAAGATTGAAAGGACGTATTCTATTTTCGCTGGTTGTATAGAGACTGCATCTTAAGAAAATATACTTATTTTCGCTGATAAAGCCTTTGTTATCTGGCAAACCAAGGCAGAGTAGAAACTTTCATTCTTAAATTTGTATTAACAGCACAAGTGTATAAATTTCGTACAATGAGCTAACAAATATTACAAACGAAAAAAATAAAACGATACTTGTGTATTTAACAATTATTCCACGAGCGCACGTTGGATATGAGATGATAGATAGCCAACGAGGCGCGTAGCGCCAAGTTGGCTATAATCATCTCATATCCAACATGCGCGAGTGGAATAATTGTTTTATTAAAAAAACGCCCCCAAGATATTAGACAAATCTTCTCGACTTTGTTTTGTAAGAAGAAACCGGTTACAATGTACAGACATTAGATTATGGTATATTGGCTCATATACCATAATGGCTAAGGCATTATCCAATGATCCAGTTTTTAATAATTATCCAGTTTTTAATTAATTTTTTTATAATTTATTCAATCAAGAGGGAACCAATATTAATAACCGTTACTGAAAAGCAAGACCAACACAATGCAAAAGAACTGGGAGATTTAAATCAAGTCATAGAGCACTACAGACAACATCTTAGTACTGCTGAAGAACTGGGACACAGGGAATGCGAGGGACAGGCCTACAATCATCTTGCCCTTGCGTATTACGAACTGGGTGATTTCAATCAAGCCATAGAGTACAGCAGACGATATCTTAGTATTGCTAAAGAACTGGGACACAGGGTACTCGAGAGAGCGGCCTGCAATAATCTTGGCTCGGCTTATTACAAACTGGGTGATTTTAATCAAGCCATAGAGTACCACAGTCAACATCTTAGTATTGCTACAGAACTAGGAGACAGGGAATGGGAGAGAATGGCCTGCAGTAATCTTGGCTGTACTTATTACAGCCTGGGTGATTTCAATCAAGCCATAGAGTACCACTGTCAACATCTTAGTATTGCTAAAGAACTGGGAGACAGGAAAGGCGAGGGAATGGCCTACAATTATCTTGGCTTTGCTTATTACAACCTGGGTGATTTAAATCAAGCCTTAAAGTACCACCGACAAGAACTTAGTATTGCTAAAGAACTAGGAGACAGGAAAGACGAGGGAATGGCCAACAATAATCTTGGCTTTGCTTATTACAACTTGGGTGATTTAAATCAAGCCATAGAGCACTTAAGACAACATCTTAGTATTGCTAGAGAACTGGGAGACAGGGAAGAGGAGAGAACGGCCTGCAATAATCTTGGCTCGGCTTGCTACAGCCTGTGTGATTTCAACCAAGCCATTGTATACCTCGGACAACATCTTAGTATTGCTAAAGGACTGGGACTCAGGGAAGACGATGGAGCGACCTACTATAATCTTGGCTCGGCTTATCACAAACTGTGTGATTTCAATCAAGCCATAGAGTTCTACAGACAACATCTTAGTATTGCTAAAGAACTGGGAGACAGGGAAGGCGAGGGAATGGCCTACAGTAGTCTTGGCTTGGCTCATCACGAACTTGGTGATTTCAATCAAGCCATAGAGTACCACAGACAACATCTTAGTATTGCTTAAGAAGTGGGAGAGAAGAATCGCGAGGCGAGGGCCTACCACCAACTCAGCCTGGCTTATCTCAACCTTGGTGATTTCAATCACGCCATCAAGTACTCTGAGTCAAGTCTTAATATTTCTCAAGATCCGATAGACAAGTTAAATTTGTTACGTTGCATTGGAGTTAGTTATCTGATGCTGCGTAAATTGTTTAAGGCCGTACAGTATTTTCAGGAATTAATCGATATCGCCAAAGACAAAGGGGAATTAAAGGAAAGTAAAGGCTGAAGCCTGTGTCTTCATTGGAATGGCTTATGCTCTTCGCGCTTGTTTCAAGTTGGCAGAAGAGCACCTTGAGAGAGCGGTTACCATTGCCAAAGAACTGAGAGATTGGATCCTCGAGTCAAAGATCTATGAGGGCTTTAGCATGGTTTTTCCCAGAAAGGTGACTTTAGACGAGCCAAGGAGTATCTCAAGAAAGCTTGTAATTGTTACCGGAATACACATGAAGGAATTTTCTTATCAAAGATGGGTTTTGTTGCTGAAAACTGCGGAGACTTGTACGAATCGCTTAATATCTATGAACGCAGTATTAAAATCTTCAATGAGATTCGACTTCTGCAAGCTAAAGATGAGTTGAAAGTAACCTTCCGGAATGCACATCAAAAAACTTTTAATGCTTTCTGGAGAACTTTGCTTAAGCTGTCAAAATTCGACGAGGCATTGTGTGCTGCGGACCGAGGACGAGCCCAGGCCTTGTTAGATCTCATCAAATTTCGATATGGCTCCCAACTGTCGGTTTCTGGATCAGTTGAGGCTAAGTCTGGGATCTCAGAAATGATCGGTGATGTGTCTGCTCCGACCCTTTTCGTTTCACTGGAAGGAAACACAATTAATCTGTGGGTAATCAACAAACACAAAAATATACATTTTACACAGAAAGTAGTGGAATATCTTTTTGGAAATGTGACCAACTATTTGAAGAGTTTAAGGAAGAAGGCTTATGAAGAGGTACGAGGAAGATACCGGGTAATCTGGGAAAACCGCACATTTGACGAGGCAAGCACTGAACAAGAACTGCCACCTGCCGAGGAAAGAGGTGAAGAAACAGTAAACCCAGCACAGTCTGACGAGAATCCTTTGCGTCTCTTGCATGAGTGCATCATAAGTCCCATTACAAATTTCATCGAAGATGGAGAGTTGGTTGTCGTTCCTGATGGTCCACTTTGGCTCGCCCCTTTAGCTGCCTTGCTGGATTCCGAGTCAAAGTACCTCAGTGAATCCACGAGGATAAGGTTTCTACCGTCACTGATGTGCATGAAACTGATCGACGCCTCTCCGGAAGAATATCACCAGAAGAGCGGGGCATTACTCGTAGGAGAGCCGTGTCTAGAAGAGTTTACCACCTTACTCGGAGAGAACAAGTTTTCACCTTTGCCCTTCGCTAAAAAGGAAGTGGAGATGATTGGAGAAATGCTTAACGTCCGGCCACTCACTGAAAAAGAAGCAACCAAGCCTGAAGTGCTGAAAAGAATCGGCTCGGTTGCTGTGGTGCACTTAGCTGCGCACGGAAAAATCGACACTGGCGAGATTGCATTAGCTCCCAATCCAGAACGAAAATGCGAAAGACCAGAAGAACAAGATTTTAGGTTAACAATTTCCGATGTACAAGCAGCGAAGTTGCGCGCAAAGCTTGTTGTGTTAAGTTGTTGTCACAGTGCACAAGGTGAGGTGTCAAGTGAGGGTGTGGTCGCCATTGCACGAGCTTTTCTCGGTGCTGGTGCTCGTTCTGTTCTGGTCGCACTCTGGGCAATTGGTGACGAGGCCACCATGGAGTTTATGAGAGGCTTCTACCAACATCTGAAGAATGGAAACAGCGCCAATGTGTCACTCAACCGGGCCATGAAATGTCTGCGAGAAACAGAAGAGTTTAACGCACCGCGTTTCTGGGCCCCGTTTGTTCTCATTGGCGATGAGGTCACAGTAGATTTTGAACAAATCAGTAAAGAATCGTAAGTATCTATCTGTCTGAAGATTTACATTAATTCCATATTAACACAAAAATATTTGTACTAAACTGGGCAAAAAAAATTGAGAAATCCACTTTTTAAAGATCGAAGGACGGTCAAGAGATTAGAAGCTCTTGTGGAGGTCATCTGAAATTTTCGGAAATGAACTCCTACAGAGTTATATGAAGTGCTTTGATAGGTTTTGATTAATACTTTTCTTATTTTTTTATACGAAAAAACAGGTCAATGGACTTGATAAATACTGTAACGTGAGTGTGTAGATCATCAGCGGATTTCAATAATTTGTTTAGTTCAATGACTGTAAAGTTCCTATGATTTCAGATTCTAAGGAGAAGAAGAAGCAGCAATAACTGAAGTTTAGGCTCAAGATGAACTTGAACAGGTGCCATGAAATGAAAACTTTAACGTAGTTCAATAAATATCAGTAAAGTAACGTATCGAAAGGAAAGCACTGAAAAAATACTTAAAGACTTGTCGACTTCAAGTGGATCTCGTGAGTAAGTTACCCGATCAAATTCTTCAGATAACTGCTACAAAAAATTAAGAATTAATTGATACAAATGTTAGATTCACATTTAAGTTTCCAGTTGCAATCTCAATATTCAGGTTCGATTACTCTGCGTTTGGTTTTAGGCCAGGACACGTGGAATATTCACAATGAAGAAATCTTAATTTTTTTTTTCTAATAAGTCAGTTTTAAAATACTTTTTTTTTCACCAGTGGAAATTGACGCACTCAAGCAACTCGAGATTCGCACCAAGTGCTAATTACCTTGACCAGTACAAGTTTACTTGGGCTGGTGAAGATTTAACGTTACTACGTATAAGTCGAAATGATTTCTGAGTGTGTTTCAAGTTTAGCCTCAGATATTATTGACACAATTACTGCGGAAGGCAAACCAAAACTACGTATCGTTGATAATGATTTGAAATGAAAGCAGGCGTTGCCGAAAGTCTCTATCTTTTTTAGACTTTTTCATTTCTTTTTTTTGTATATTTTCTTTGCATGTTAAAAAATGATCATTGCAGGTGAACTGCAATTAAAAATAATATTAAAAATAATAAAGAACGGAAGTCTGTTAAAATATCCAGGCTTCCACGGGTCAGTTCGAACCTGTGCCTCTTGGATATTAGTTGGGCATAACTACCAACTCAGTTACAAATTATAGCCACAGTTGGGAGTAGGGTACAAATTAAAGGGTTCTTTTTTGTCCATAATTGTGAATATATCTTTTGCTTGAAAGATATGATTGTTCGAACCCTAACATATCAAGAATATTTTCATAAATGTGGTTATTTTCGATTTCAAGATTGGTTTTTTATTTGAAGAGGGTTTACGTTGCCAACAATAGAGTATTGAAGTTTCAAATAATCTCCTCTAAGTAAAATACAGTTTTGAATTTTAAGTCGAGTTGACATAGCTAGAAATGAAGAGGAAAGTGTGCAATCTTGGCAGACTTATTTGTTCTTAAAAAAGCTTGGTAGATTGAGATGCAGTATTCTGTCATCACTATATTTTAAAGGAAATTTCACTTATGATTCGACAAAGACAAACCAAAAACTGGGTGTAGTAAAATTAATACCTTCAGTGGCTGGCATATTGGTTTCTTCTTCCCAGAAAAGAAAAAAGACGAAGAAGAAAATGAGAAAAAGTTTTCTTCCGTAATTTGACTCTATCCAATTATTTTTTTCCTTTTTTTCCTTTACATTTCCTGGAAAGATCCAAATTCGCCAGAGGGGACTGAATCCAAATATTCTCTGCGTTCGTCCTCACAGTTTCTTCTGTCAGTTCCCAGAGTGAACTGCTGTACATTTGGGGGTCGCGCTTTCACCCACGCTGCACTGGCTCTATGGAACTCTATCGCTGACTATTAGATCTAGTAGCAGTATTTCTGTGTTTAAAAAAAGACTGAAGACTTTTCTTTTTAAAAAGGCTTTTAATTTGCGATTTTTGGTCTATTTGATATATATTCTTATTGTACAGCGTTTTTGAATATTGACCAATAGCGCTCTATAAATATATTATTGTTATTGTAAAACAAAAGACGACTTTTTCTGGTAAGTGCATCAGTTTTCTTGAGAAGTTTACTATCAGACGAACTCAGTTATTGGCCCCAATTTTCTTCTCGCCTTCTCTTTTTAAGCCAGGTGTGTAAGCTGGTAAGGGACCTTACAACAATACTAAGGGGGAGGGGGTAAACTGCGACAGTCCAAAATCCCATTGCATGGAGGGAAGGCCTGTAGTGGTGACCATTTCGAGTTTGCGCGTGCGCAAACTTTACCTTGCTTAGCTTGGTTGGTTAGGTAAAAGATGATTGAGAAAGAGAAGTCGATTGAGAAGTGCTGAAAATTTGATAGCAACGTAAGAACATGGTCATAATGACAGAAAACAAACCAGATCTCATCCTTTTCCCTTTATGTATATGATGCCTCAATGTCACTGGAGGAAATTTGTTTCTCGTCCTTTCGAATTTGACTATAGTGGTTTACATGGCCATTTCAGTTGGCTTGTTTCTCGTCGTTCAGTTGTTTGCCACGGGTTCCTGAGGCTCGTGGTTGTTCAAGTGTAACCCTCATCGTAATGGGTGGCCCAATATAACCATGAGCTCGTTTAGGCTTGGCACCCTGGAGCGTATGTCCGACAACGACAACATTTTCTTGTCTAAAAAACCTTTCGAAGCCTCCTGCCATCTTTCACACTTATTGCACGCTTATCCCTTTGTCATCTTCCAATTCGTCTGCCTGGTTTGTTTGTTTTTCTTTTAAAATAAATCCACAGCGGGTAGGATTAAAATTTTTCCTCAGTTCAACAGCACCTTCAGATATCAGCACGGGTCAATAGAGTCATTATGCGCCAGCCTTATTATCACGGAGTTGGAAATCAAAACAAAAACAAAATTTTCTTCATTTTATTATAACGTACAAGAGTTGTTTCTTGTTTAATTGGCAGGAACTGAAACTTGCGTAACACTGCAATATTCTTCTAGCAAATTGTTTGAATCATTCAAAGAGAAGGTGAAAAAGAGGTAACGCTTCTGTTTAAGAGTATGAAAAAGGTTTTAAGAAGTATACAGGTGTGTTTCGAAAACCATCTTTGGCGAAACTTTTTTGAAAAGCGATTACCCTTCAATTAAGCAAATTATTTTAAGATTTGATTATTAGAAAACAGGCCACGTATGATTTGTAGGTAGACAAAAAAAAAGTAATTCAAGCAATACGTTTCGCTTGATTTGGTAAACAACATAAATTGTTCTAGTTGAAGCAAATCAGTTTTCCACGAAAAGATAATATTTACACATCTGTTTGTAGTCTGATGACTTGACCATTTAAGCTCATGCACATTTAAATCTTCATGATTAATCTTAACGATATCCTGAGTAACTTTTTCTTCAATTTTGTCTCGTTAGGAGAGTAAACCGGGCGGTAGCAATTTATTCAAAATTAAACCCACGCCAAACAGGCATCGCCCAGATATTATCTTCTACCTCGTTATGTAATTGAAGTAATTACTTCTTATCAGTCCCAAAATTTAACACTGGCCCGTGCCGAACCAATTTGTACATGAACTACAAACTTCATATGAACAAACATTTGCCCGCAGCGATTTTGAAAAACGTCAAACGAACGTGACAGCAGAAACTTGCGTGTTGTTCATTTCACCGGAAGTAAACAACTCAAAGAGAACTTACACTCTCACGTGATCGCCCACGAACTGCAGCCTCGCTGTGGCGAAGCAATTAATTTGATGATTTCATTCAGATTCGAGAAGTGACCAAAGAAAATTATCAGTTTAGCTTTTACAGTTGCTTGCACTCTAGGAATGGCTTAGTTCTTCAAGGAAGTCTGTCTTTTTTTTTTTTCGAAATGGATTGTCTGGAATGCGTTTATTTTTGGAGCTTAAGCATGTTGGAAAGATCTTCCACAATCTTGCCTTAGTCTAATCAGTGCAACGAAAACAGTTTGAGGATCGGGCATTAATCAGGTTTCATCCTCTTTGAAGGCAGCAAGTTCGGGTTGTTTTAGGTTTTGGCAAGAACGCAATGGCATCTGTGAAAGTAGCAGTAAGAGTGAGGCCCTTAAATCAAAGGTAAGACGCGATTGTTAATTAAACATCCTAAAGTTTGAGTCAGTTGAGTTAGCGTTATTCGTTCATGCCTTGTCACGACGTTCGACTTTGCAGGGAAAAGGGCATGGGCGCACAATCAATAATCGAGATGGAAGGAAAGAAAACGACCATTATGAATATCAAGGTAGACATGCTAAATCGCAAATGTCGTTTAGTTATGCTTGCTAAATTGTTGTAACTCTATGAATTAGGTGTCGTGTAGAGTGACTATCAAAACACGACGAAAGTCATGTGTAAATACGTCAGGTTGAGTTATTTATTCGGTATTTTTATTTCAGGCGAATTCATTACCTGGCGAGGGAGAAAGGCGAAATCGCGTGAAGGATTTTTCTTTCGATTTTTCCTACTGGTCTGTCAGCGAGAGAAGCCGACACTATGCTTCACAAGAGAGGGTAAGATTTGCATAAGCGCACCAGCACCTTCTCTGATCAGTCGAACATATGATCGCATGCCTGATTGTTTTCCCAACGATATTTATGTACGTTCTTGTAAGTTTTGACATAGATTTCTTTTCAAACCTGAAGATTTTCCAGGCATGACTGAAAGGTTAATCCAAAGTCTAAGAGGGTAATATGGTGTTCTCAAGAAACGACTCACTTAGATTTAAGGGCCATTTTTCGAACCTTTTTTCGAAACGATGTTTACTTCCATAATTGTCACTTGTGTATTGGTCTCTAGACAAAACCGGCTCGTCGAAATTTAAGAACTAAATTTCCGGATGTTTCCGTTGTCCTTTCAGTTTTGAGAGCGATCTGATTTTGTTTGCATTTGAATAATTAGCATTAGTCAAACTATTCTAGCTTGATCAGGGATAAAAGAAAGTTATAGTTTAATCGTCCACATTCAAAATAAATCACCTCA